GGTTACTACTGTGAAGGAAAACATTTATAGCTAATTTTTTTTAATCAACTGAGTTGATAATGTACTTTAGTACATACTAAAACAGTGGATAGTGTTGAAGGCGCGCTCTGATTGGCTAGTCAAACTCCGAATATCCTTTGCTATTTACCTCCGAGCAACTCGGGAAAAAATGGCCTCCCGGTTTGCATTCGTGACAAGCGAAGAAATCACTCAAATTAACAAATTAACGTATATTATCTCACTGTTTTAGCATATACTAAAACAACTATTCACGCCAGTGTCGGTGGTTAGCGGTGGATATTTACCTCGCTGCTTTGCGGCTGGGTAAATATCCACCACTAACCACATCCACTTCGGTGAATAGTTGTTAATTATTTCGCTGACGCTCATGGCGTACAGTAGAGGAGATACAGAGAGAAACGAGGCCAGCCAGATGGCAACAATCATGAACTTCGCGATCTCGAAGGTCACATTCTTCCTGAGAGAAAATGTAACAAGGCAAAACCGCTCGAATGCAATGGCTGTCAGCGTTAAAATGGAGCAGGAAACTGTTGAATCAGAAATAAAACTTGCGGTTTTGCAGACGATGATTCCCTGTATACCCGGCCGTCAAACCAGTGATACCTTCCTGTTATATGCCTGGCTAATCTTCCCGGCATGTTGCAAAAGGTCACCAGTATATCCGCGGCGGCTAAGTTTATGATCAGGCGATAAGTAATAGTATGGAGTCGATTATTCCTTTTTACCGTACTGATAAGCATAGTGAACCCCACAAGAGACGCCAAGATGACTTCTGTATAGCCAACGGTATAGACCACTTTCTCCGCCAAACCGTCCATCTCGGTTTTACACGAATCTCCTGACAAGTTCTTTGGGATGTTGATGGTGAGATTTACAGTATTGTTTATTTCCATGATATCTGCGAACGATTGATCAAAAGGTGTGATCCCGCTGAACCAAAAACCGATAATGCTACTGATAAGCAAGCGTTCGGTGGTGCGTCAACTGTATGTAACAATTGCAACAATACAGTCGAACGAAAGTTAGTCAGGTGTTATCATTTTTAAGTCGCCTGTTGTCCATTTAAACTCAAAGGGTATCAAAGGCATAAATATCTGTTTCTTTTGGTGACCTTCCCTGGAATCATTTATCGACGCATCCTGTGAGTCTGGGCTAAAACATTCGGAGCTTGCTTTCTTTCCAGATAATTATACTGATGTAATGAAAAGAACAGGAAAGTAGCAAAATAGGCCCAAATGTCGCAAAATTTTTAATAGCTTTAAGTTCATTGTTTGAAAAACGCTTATATTGGTCAAGAATGTGCCACATGGGCTGGAGCCAATTAGCACCAAACACGAGGTTATGGTTTCAAAAGCCTCAGTGAAATCTCTCTCGTCTGCGGTTTCTAGGTTAGAAGACAATTTATATCGTAACCAATGTCCTTACCTTCACGAAAATTTATCTATTTAAGAGGATTTTGTTTAATCTTCCAGCAAAAGTTTTAGAGTTTCCAGTGAACATTACTATTTTTCAATCAAGTCTCCTTTTTATATTTTAATTATGAGTCAAGTATTTGTTTCAATTACGAGTGTACTGTTCAAGTGCCGAACTTAGGCGCGAATCTGGATTTTAATTTCATTTAGGCCAACAGCAGTTCTCTTTGATAATTTATTCATCCAAACTTCTCTGCTCAAGACACCTTTCTTACATTATCGCCAGACTTTTAACAATTAATTCTGAC